GAATCAATCTGACTGGATGATCTGGTTGAACTGTAAAGTGCCTTGAGATGACGTGTTGTGAATTGGAACAATATAGATAAACTGAATCGATCAAATTGAATGAGAAATCCAAGCTGTCAACTCATGGCTGCTCTACAGTCGCTCTGACTCTGAGGGGCTAGAAGATATTCCCATTTCTGTGGCTTTGCATCATTTTATTATTTAAACTATATAACATAAAATTTTGCACCAAATCGTCACAAAATACAATTACTGTATAATTAACGTGTTCAGTGGTTTGTAGGGAAAGTCCAACATAAAACTGCATTTCAAGTTTTAAACTGCGTGTTACTAAAAAACCTGCCAAGAGCTTTCCTCTTCTTAATTCTGCTGTTCTTCGTGCCTCCTCTGCTCCTTTACTCTCCATCTTTCACACCATTGACTCAGCCGAGTGCACTGGAAAGTTAAGTCAGGAAGCACAGAGGAAAAAAAAAAGCTGCCAGTTTAGGTGGAGGCAGCCCAGAGTGATCCACTCATGGCTTAACCATGAAATAAAAGAATAAATAAATTAAATAATCAACGGCCTCTGTGGCCACAAAATGAGACCGGCACCACCAGAAATTGTCCAGATCTTCCCGACCAGCCACTCTGGGCCTGGTTTCCGCATTTATCTACATTTTGGATTTAAGCTCATTAAGTAAGGTAGTTTTAAAATCCCATGTGCGTATTATGTTAACTTAGGTTAGGTAATCTAAGTCTGTAATTATAATAAGGTTAAACTAATCTACTAATTTTTGTCGCGATCATTGAGTCTGGGAGCGGCCATTTTTGCCCAAATATATAGTAACCCCTCCCTCCTGCCATCTTCCAGCAGTGACGTCACGGTGCGGTAAGCCTAGCGCCATTCTCCCCGCTTTACAAGCAGAATCAATGGGAACTACTAGACACATCTGCAATCAACAACAATTATTGAAGATTTCCAGAGGACTTCACCATTGAAATTCACCAGAGCTATAGTGAAACTGACAATGCCCACGTGCATGGCAGCTGGATGTTGGAATACATCGAGTAAAAGTGAAAAAAAGAGTTATTTCACCTTTCCGATTCTTGATCCTGTGTGTCACAGTAAGCTTGTCCCAGATATTTTTGATCCATGTCCAATATTGAAGTGTAGTCTGTGCTATGTTGTTATTCCACAACCCAAGAGGGCCAATCAGGAACTAGCTGTGGGCGAAAAAGAGCGGGGATCCAGGTGGAAAAAGGGTCCCAGCGTTCCTACACTCCTCACTCTACTAGCTGGTCCATTTTCACGAGTCGTTTTCCACAATGGCGGTCATACCAACAAAACAAGCCGCTAAGGTAGCAAACAGGAAATATGCATAGTGTAGAGAGGATGTAGATTTTACCAATCAGAGGCCTCCTGTCTGCGGCACTGTCTGTGGTCACCTACAATTTTGGAGAGGTGCATTGGGGGGGACACATTTGCATTCAGCGCTACACTCACGTAGATGAGCTGGTTTTTGAGTATAAATCAGCCTTAACTGTGACCGCTCTTCACTGATAATCTATCTGTCCAAAGTTACCAATTGTTCAGTCACAGTAAGGGAATTCACAGGACAGGGGGCCGTTCTGCATCAGAAAACCCTTTCTCCTCTAAAAGGTTGTAAAAACCGGGGTGACCGCTGGGAAATCCTGCTCTCAGCCAATCAGAGCAAGAAGATACCGTTTAGACTCTGATAATTATCTGATAATTATCATTACCTGCTAGTTTAAGGAGCTTTGAAGCCAATCAGGGTCTAAGTCTTTCTATAGAAGCAAATGTTGCATAAAACCTGATCTTGTGATTCTGGAGTAAAATGTTTTCATTTTTGTTGGTCAAAATTAAAATGAAACAAGCATAAAATCCTAATCAGTAAAAAGTCAAGCATAAACCTGGTCAGAGTTGAAAACAAATGATGAAGATAACTGAGCATAAAAGCTGATTTAAACTCTCCCAGCGTCTCTAAATGATCAGAGTCTCCACAGCCACCCGGGTCTCCATGTTGTCTGATGGTGTGTAGTTGTTGGTTTTACAGGGTGGTCCTCAGTGTGTGTTCTCATCACAGTCCAACAATCCGTTCCTGCAGGATCCTCCGACACACAAGAGAGTCTGATTACTGTTCTTATGGAGATCTGCACTGCCTTTACTGACTAATTCATCATTTACTTTAAGACCTAAAAACCTTTATCTGACGTTTGAATGTATGGTTGGCAGAATGTTTCTTGTTTTAATGAGAAGACATCAAACATGTCTTACCTTTCACTGCCTGGCAGGTGAAAGTTCTCTGTAACAGAATATAATCATCATGCACATCCAGGTTCGTGCTCATTATTCTATAAACTCAACATCTGTACTTTTAATACAGATAAAAAAGTGATTAACAGCTTGGTGCTGATTCTCCCCTCAACAGCCTTAGTAGCCAGTTTTACATAGATCTGTGTGAGCGGATCTATATGTGGGAATCTGCTCTGCTCCTGGGAAAGAAGGTTTGATCCTGTCCAGCACGCCAAAACAGTTTAACGTCCCTGTTAGGCTGAGTTAATCATGCGAGGTTTCCGCTGATTTCTCTGCTACCACAGTAGCTTTGAATCATGGGAGGTTTGGGCCCAGATTGTCACCACACCGTGTTTACCGGGGTTACTGTAGCCTTCAGATTAGAGGACTGTACCCCAGCTGGGTTCTCTGTTCACAAAGCTCAGCAGTTCACAGCTCCATAGAATCGACTCCGTCTCCTCTATCAGAGCATCCAACCACAGTCCAATAAAATGGTCATTCAATGTAGAATAGAAACAGCTAGAAAATCTCTGCTGCATCCTGTGTTTATACAGCAACTGCTCAGTGTAACAGCCCTGATAAAATGCTTCACTTTGAAGGAGGAGTCTGATCACTGAGTCCAGGAGC